TAAACTTATTTGGCTTTGCTAAATTTTCAGTTGTGACTTGAGATCGGTGACGTTTGAAGAGAGAAAGCTATCAACGAAGGCTTTTCAGAACTAGCATTGCATTCTATATCTGCTTTTTTTGTTTTCCAACTTGATAGGCAAAATAATGGGTGTCTAAACTTTGTCCGCTGTCTGTCCCCCTTATACTTCTGATAAATACCGGGTGTGGTGCGTTAGGAACGAAATGGTCGCGTCGCGGTGAGAGGGGCGTCGCGCGCGAAAGAATGTAGCAGGATGCAGCAGTGGGTAAGAAATACGAGAACAAAAGTACTAATAGTAGAATTGTGCATGAAATAATGATTGCATATCGATTGAGCTGTATGAAGAACGCTAGGGGTGTAATAACGGCGAATGAGTGGTCCGCGATAGCCGCGTGCGGCGAATCGATTACCCAAAATCGTTTCTAACGCCCGTCTCCCATAAATACCAGACTAGAAGTAATGGTGCCTCGTGCCATTACTTCTAGTCCAGTATTTATCATAAGTATAAGTAACATGTTGGTTTTTAGTTTCATGAAGAAAATTCATGAAAAGTAGTGTTTGAGGTTGAACACGTCCAAAGTATTAACTATACTTGAACTCTACCTCGTTTTTTTTTGAAGATTGCCCTTGTAACCATGTATAACCTATTCAGAGACCTTGTCATTTAACACTACCACTTTCTAGTTCCAGTTTGAATTCATTTTTCTGCTTTCGTGCTTCTGAAAAAGTTTCAGGTTAGAGGGAAGTATAGAATCGGCTAGTCACGTAGTTTTCTACTAATATCTAAAATGGTGCTTGAGTCTCGTAGAAAAACTGTATAAATGTATAGGTCCTATTGTTCCTCTATTATTGTCAAGAAGGTATGGAATTATTTTACAACATCAGTTCCTCTATCAACGTTTGTTTCTTTTTCAAGTTGTAACAATGCGATAATGTCGAGCTATAACGTAAGCTTGAGTGAAGCAACGACCTTAAAACGCTTTTTCTTAGATGCTTCGGGTGGCATTGTCACCTCTACTATCTCCTGCGATCGAAACCTCGCGGCTGCTCATCGCCAGCGTACCTTCAACAGTTATTCTACAAACTCGAGGAAGGCGTCGCACTCTCACTCCAGCTCCATGGGTGAGGCAGATTTCATTCGAATTGGTTTCATTGATCTGTAGTTAGTAGAAGTGTGAATGGTGCTCCACCAAGTCATGCATCAGCCTCTGTATGGCTCGACTTTGCTTTAACTCACCAGTCTCGTTGATAAATAGATATTGGTCGTAATTATAAATTAATTCATAAAAAACGGCAAAGAATCGCGAAATGAAGTCAATTAAGAACTTTTTTACACTATAGAAGAATTAGTGAAGGATTAGCAGACCATATCGGTTGAAACTGAGCAAACTTGTAGGAGTAGCAACAATAGCAGCTTGGGGCATTCGGATATATCGGAAGGCAAATCACTGTGACTCTAACTGGTAGCTATTCAGTAGGGGTATAACAAGGTCGAGTGACAACAAACCAAATTGTTTCATTTGCAATTATTTGGCAGAATTCGATGTCGGAAATTTTCTCTCTGCTCCACTTCAATCCCAGTCTTTCGCAAATCTGTAGCCACCAATATCCCCTTTTAGGAACGTAGTGTTGATGCAATTTTACTTATGACACTGTGTAGTTGACACTTGTGCGTGGTTATGCCTTTCCAGCAAAGCTTTGCTCGGTATACGCTTCTTTCAACATGCCTTAACCAATCATTCATTGTTTATTTAACATTTCAGTTGCCTCCTGTTTACGAACGAGTTCATGCCGATTATTTGGACGATTCCAACAGGTTAATTGCCGCATTTCAAACTATTCGACAATCTAAATGTTTCTTTGATTTGAGGGAGTTACTGCGAGAAGTAAAGGAAGCCGAGAAGAGCTGTGCCAATCACTTATCAGCCACAAGTTCTCAAAGTGAAGCCAAAATTGCGGAAATAGAGTTGCCCACAAGGAGAGTTGGTAAGAGCGTGCTTCGTTGTAGCCAGTCGATATATGAGGTGTTAATTGAATCACTCGAAGGTTTGCTTGCTCGCAAGATTGGGATGACGCCACAATGGACAATTACAGGAGATCGAGTGTTGTGCACGCTTCTCGAAATTTGCCAGGTATCTCACAGTGAAGCTAGTGCCAATTAGCCACCATACACTATTTTGATGTTCTTCTTGAGCACATCTGCTTCTTACTTCGGCACTTCGACAGTTTTAATAAGATTATGAATCTGTTGATCCTGATTATCTTTTTTACCTTTTGGCTATCTTCATATGCCTAGAACCACGTCATTAGCGTGACTTCTCCAGACGAGTGGTACCGTAGAAGTATTGTTGGCAAGCGGAAGGCATTCAACAGAGAAGGGCCCATGTGGAAGGTGCGTTTTCAGTTGGCATATGAGGATTTAAAAGCATTCAATTCGCTTTAGGTAACTGTTGGAGCTGTGGACTACGATGCGGACAGGTTTTCTCTTGCTTATCGGAGGCAGTTCATCCGTGCTGGTGTCGCTACTAAAAAGTATCTTGGCTCATTCCTGGTACATTTTAAAATTACTTTTCTCGCAGTTTTATGTTCACTTATATGTGTTATACTTGTCGTTGCTTGGGAAAGATGTCATACTGATCTCCATGAACCCAGTGATTGTCGTTGTAATAGGGTCTAGTGGGGATTCCCTCCATTATCCTTACCTATTGCCACCCTTTACGGCTTCGTTCGCACGAAGTGGCTGGATCATGGAAGAAATCTAGAAGGGAACCATTCATAAATCATTTAGACCCTTTGCGTTCAGCCTTCCTCGAAAGCGCTTTAATTTCACTAGTTTCCATCGGAGTGTTTTTTTTTTCAACGTTTCTGTGCTTGCTTTATACTCTTTATGGTTGATAAGTAAATGATGTAGGGCATCATTATGAGGTCACGTAAGCGCTTATTCGACACCGCCCTTCATTAATTCTCTTCTCTTTCGGTTTCTTTCGGTTTGCCATCCCACATCCACTGACAAGGTTCACAGTTTCCCTCGCCGCTTGGCCAATGAGCTCGGACCTGTGAAAAGGAATGCATGCTTTGCCGATTTCTCGTTTCCGACTATCAAGATACATAATTATAGAAAACCAATCAATAAAAAACATAGCTTTCAAGATGTTTTTGGCTGAAAATAGCGTTTGTTAAGGTTTCGGAAGAGGCATTGCCTTCCGTAGGTACGAAGCTGGATGCCAGGCACTTTTCCGTTGGACAATTCGTTACTGCCACAGGAAAATCAATCGATTGGGGATTCCAGGGTGGTATGCACAGATGGGGCATGAGAGGGCAACCAGCTCGACAGTACGTTCCTTTTCTTTTATGAATCAATGCTTTTCAATGAATTTTCGTTTAGCACTACCAAATCACATCGCCGTATTGGTTCGGTTGGATCGACCGGCGATGCGCGTATATGGCCAGGTAAACGGATGCCTGGACATATGGGATATGAGTGGGTTACCGTAAGTGGTCTAGAGGTTAGTGTTCCTCTACTACTGGAAAAAGCTTCTTTCTTTGACTGATTTCACTTTTTTCTATAGGTCCTTCGGATGAACATAGAAAAGCAAGTCATTTATGTCAAAGGTAGCGTTCCTGGTGACATTGAGGAGATTTTACTTCTGAAAGATTGCTTACAACCAGAAAAGAAGCTCAAGGTTCGCGCTATCATTAACTTCAGGCCATTTCTTTTGGTTTTGACGCTGTCGTCGAGTGTTGGGTCGTAATATTGATTCTGTGACGCATTAGGCTCTATTAATTTTTTTACCGTTTAGATCTTTCTCGAAATTTTCAGACAGGACCGATTCCTACCTGGTTGCCGTCGTTGGAAACTGCAGAGGTGGAAAGTGAAGAACACAGTGCAGTTTCTCGGTCAAATGAAATACTATCCCCTAAACTGTTTAGGTATGTGGTTACTCATCCACTTCTCCAGAGCTAGAATTTCTGTTTTGCAGTTTTTCATCGCCTTCAATAATCTTTTCCGAAGATGATGCGAAGAAAGCTGCTGGAAGAGATAAGACGAAGGCTAAAATCGCAAAAGTTAAAAAATGAAGTCGTCAGTATTGTTAGGGTCAGAATATGTACAGAACTATATTATTAACTGCTGTTGAAAGTGGTTGTTACATGTTAATAAGATGTTCATTGTTTCAATTTTTCCATACAAACGGATGGTCAGCGCTCCAAATACTGTGAATCGATGAAATTTCCACATGTACTCTATGCAAGTCTTTATTCCTGAGTTATGTTATGTGCATGGGTACCAAGAAGGCATTTTTAGCTGTTGTTGAGATTCTCGTCATGCTGACAAAGAATGTAGCAGGGCAGGGTGCAGTTCATACCGATCCTTGTTCATCTAAAACGCAAAGGAGAGCTCCTGCAGGTATTTTTCGTAGATGTATAATTATCTTCGACATTTTCTCCAAAAAGAAAATGCGAATACTCCGTATTTTTTGTTCTCTCCTTTGCTCTGTTTTTCGCAAGAGCTCTGTGAATGTTTTTTCCATTCGATTGTTGGAAAACAGACACTGTTACCTTCCTATTGTGTTGGTAGTCATAATAGTCACTACATTATGACACTATTTAGTTCTTGCTACACGTCTGCCGCATCATATTCTCTCACAGATCTTCCAGTACCTTGGTTTATCTGATCTGCGTAGCTGCACACTTGTTTGTCGTCATTGGTTCAACGTTCTAAATTTTGAGGTACGGTCATTGTTCAGATTTCGACCATATTTTACCTCGACCCTTGTTATCTAAAAATGTCAGCGATATCTTGTTCAGGACAGTTTGGTATGGCGTTCTTTGGCACAAAGTAAGATATCGGAATCCGCTCTAGCAGATCCGTACTTACTCAGCGAACTTACTTCGTACAAGAAGAAACTGCGGGCCTTTTATTTTGCATGGAATCCCAACGATGCATCCAAGTAAGGTTTCTATCATTTTCTTTTTTCGGAAGTTCTAGCCCTATTGTCAAATATATGCAGTGCATTTTTGCAACAATTTAGTGGTATCTCATATAATCTTGAAATAGCTGCATGATTCTTTTCCGGAGATGAAATACATGCCCGAGCTGCTCCCTAAATTCTTCGTCAGCTATGCATATACATAGATGCATTTTGCTGCGAAGTTTTTGCTATCAAGAAATTACCTACAAATGTCTCAACGAGATTTCCTCTCCCCCTCCAACATTGGATTCTACTGTTTATATGACTGATCACACCTAAGCTACATAGGATCCTCTTTCTCTATAGATAGTTAAATCTTGAGGATCTGCATAAGAGCGAGGCGATATCTTCAAGAAAAACGCAAGACATTATTGGTCTCACACTGATATGGTCTCACTCTGATATTCTTCTGTTAGTACCTCCTCTCCCCTTCGTTTCTTACACCAAACCTTCAATAGATTTCTATGCTACTGTTTTAATATCATAATAACAACGATTTCTAGAAACAATTATGTTCGCGCAAATGGTTTTACGGTTCATCGCCAGCCAGTAGCTCAAAGCACTGACGGAGTCCGCGGAAAGGTACGTGTCTATGTCTTTTTTTTTGGAGCACACTTTTTTGGAATCGGATTTGATATTTTAGATAGGAGTATCACAAGGAGTTCATGCCTTCGATATAACATGGGAAGGCCCACTTGGAACTGTAGCTGTTGTAGGGGTTGCTACAAGGTGATAAAGCCTCTAACTGTCTGTTCAAGCAACCGATGTAATACAGAATACCAGCTCTAATACGTGTTCAGGCATGCTGCTCTTCATTGTCCTGGATACTTGCCCTTACTCGGAAGTGATGATCAAAGTTGGGGGTGGAATCTTGTCGATAATACTCTGATTCATAACGGTGAACAATTGGGCGTTTATCCACGCTCGAACAACCCGCCTAAATACCAGGTAGCTGTGTATGTATCGCAGTAATTTTCATTAATAAACGCGCTCAGAGCGCTACTCTAGTTAATAAATGTTTTTGAGTTTGTACTCAATTCCTCTCAAGCTGTATGTCATGTGTGTCATACTGCCACCGAGATCTTCGTTCGTTAAGGTTGGAGAAAGAGTCCGACTCGTGTTGGATTGCGACCGCCATTTTGTTTACTTCGAGCGCGCAGGAGCGGAGTTCCTTGGACTGGCTTTCATGGATCTGCCGCCTGTCAAGCTTTTTCCTGCAATTTGTGCAGTGTACGGTAATACAGAGGTCTCTATGGTGTATCTAGGACCTCCTATTGCTGGTTAACATCTTCTTCTTTTGTAGCTTTTTTTTGCTAGCTTGCAAAACTTCACTTAAAAGGAATTCCAAATTTCAACCTCTCTTATCTACGCTTGTAAAGCACAAACATTCCTATTCATTGCGCTTTCATGGGCCAATGTTTTTTTGTTCTTACCTTTTAAAAAATTTGTTCTAATTCATAGGAAAGCCATTCATGTTGTTGTGGCTCATAGTCTGTTATCATTTTTCGTAAGTGCTGCGTTTTTTCTGAAGAAATTTTGATCCTTATGTAACAATGGGCGTAGCGAAGATTTACACTAACGTTCCTACATGGGGGATAGAACTGCAATAGCACAGCGTAGTTGGATGTAGAATCATATTAACTTGTAAAACCGCGACGACCAATAATCTCTGTGTTGCTTTTTTTGTCGATTCTAGCACCCACCTGCCTGACCGTAGCCTCTTCCGGTTATCAATCAGCCCCAGTAGTCGCGTTTTGAGAGTTGGCTCACCTATGTTCTGTGGCAAGCAGTAGTTTACACAGCCAAAAGCAGCACCGAATTTCTGCACTTATGTGCAGTGAAGCTCTAGCAGCTTTCTCCAAGTAACTGCTATGTCTTTTTTATTATTTACACTCGCTTCTTCCTCCCATCCATCGAGTGGCAATGTAGTCTTATACTTCATCCTACTACATTTCATAATGGAGACATTCAGATCATAGAGTTCATGTTTCCATGGAATTGGATAACTTTGTTCAACCTCTAAGTTCGGGACTTCAAAGCTTTATATTGTATGCCTTTCTGTTTTGTAGCTGTTATGTGATTTCTTAATGCATACATAATAATCCAATTCTAGTCAGTTGTACTGAATTTACCTTGCATGAAGATTCGCTTAGCTCTTTTCAACCCGCCATTATAGCATTGTTTTATTGTACCCTTTTTTGAATTCGGTTTTTCACAAGAACTCTTCTTTTAGTCCGTCCCTTCCAAGCAACAAGGTGACGGCTGGAGGAGAGTTCCAAAAGAGATACCGGTTGCTTGAGATTCTTCCTTATTAATTAATTCTTGTAGCTTTCTAGTCCTCATTTTTAGTTTCTCGACTTGAATTCATTATATTTTTTATTGTCTTTCTTCCAACATTCCATAAAGCGTTGTGGTACGCTCAGGCGTTGTTTCGAATGACCTGATGTTTTCGCTTTGTTATATCGGACTGTGATGTGAATAGGTGCCCTGCAATGTGTTGTTAATGCTTTTTGTAGTTTCAATTGAAGGTGGTAAACGATGTATGAAGATGATGATGATGACATGCCTTACGGGGGAGAAGGAGGTGATCAGGAAGTAGATGAGGAAGACAATGAAGAGATTTCAAGTGAGCAATGGCAGGTGAGCTTTTTCAATAAGATCGTAAAAATGTTGTTAGTGATGACGGCGTCTTTGATTCAGGAAGCTTGCTGGGTTGTGATCAGTGCCTATTTTGATGAAAAGGGTCTCGTTCGGCAGCAACTTGACTCGTTTGACGAATTCATTCAAATGAATGTCCAACGAATCGTGGAGGATTCGCCACCGGTGGAACTGCAAGCCGAAGTCCAACATTTTTCTGGTAGGTGTGATTTGAAAAATCTTCGAGGGTACTGCTATATGCTTCTTTTTTTAGGTGATATTGAGAATCCTACCAAATTTTCTCTGAAATTCGATCAAATATATCTCTCCAAGCCAACCCATTGGGAGAAGGATGGAGCACCGACGCCGATGATGCCTAATGAGGTTTTTTTGCTGCTTTTGCTATTTTCCAAGCTTCTTTGTTTAACTCGCTTTTTCTTCTTACGTGACGTTCAAGCAAGCTAATTTTTAATGTCTCCATCACTTAAGGCACGGCTGCGAAATTTAACCTATTCTTCCCCGCTCTATGTGGACATTACCAAACAAATCCAAAGAGATGATGATGTGACCGAAAGAAAATATGAGAAAGTATTCGTTGGAAAAATTCCAATCATGTTGAGGTGGATTCTTAACTTTTAGTTCGCTTTCATTGTGTAGGTTTACTTTTAAACTTTTAGATCGAGTTATTGCATGCTGTCAAATATGTCTGATCGAGATCTCACTGAGTTAAATGAATGTCCTCTAGATCCAGGAGGCTACTTCGTGATCAACGGCTCTGAAAAGGTAAATTAGAAAATGAACTCATTTTTGCAGCTCAAAAGAGGGAGGAGGTGTTAAGACGTTGAAAAATGCAAGAATCTTCGAGCTTCCCCGAAGCATCACTTGTCTCGAGCCAATATTTGCTGAAAAGTTATACCTTTTCTGTTCAGATTAATGATACACCACTGTTTGGAATCAAAAAATTAAAGCTTGGTATTTTCTATACATTTATAGAGTCAAAAAGAGTCCTGGATTTCTCAAATCATAATTGATCAAATAATTGATCTTCATTTGTAGAGCGCAGCTTCCTTTTTTTGGATTGAAGACTTGTGGCTGATGGCTTCGAGTGCAGACTTATGTTGTTATTTGTTCGCACTGAAGTGGCGGGCTCCTAGAACGCAAGACCAATCCTTGTCCAAGTTCATGAAGTGCGGGTTCTAGCCCACAAGTTGCACTTTGCCCTCCCCCTCATCTTATCAAAAGGTTTATCAAATTTTGTACAGTAGCTAACTTCCATAGAGCGGTCATTGATTTTTTTCGACTTTCCCTGCTTACTTCATACTTCTGCGGTGCATTACGCTGCAGTAGAATGCGGTGTCGCGTAGCATGGTAGCATCTATGGTGTTATCCGTTTGTTCTGGGTCTGCAGCTCGGGGCTCGCGTCTTAGAATCAGCTTCTGTTAATGTTTCGCTTGGATAGCAGAGGACGTCGTTTGTAAGATCGATACCCTGGTACTAACCCACTACGAGTACTTCGAGATAGAATTCAACTGCTACGCAACGCGATGCAATTGGGCATCACTAGACTAGAATTAATAAAGCGCTTTGTTAACTCTAGCATAGTTATTCTGAAGGTTACTTTGTTCATTCAGGTCCTAATTGCTCAAGAGAAAATGGCAACTAATACAGTTTATGTGTTCTCAATGAAAGACGGGAAATATGCGTTCAAGACAGAGTGCAGGTCTTGCCTTGAAAACTCAAGGTAGGCTTTCTGGTATCGTCGTTGGATTTTTGTCACTATCAATTGAACGGGACATTTGTCTGTTTTTAGTCGTCCAACATCAACCATGTGGGTGAACATGATGGCTCGCAGTGGAGGAGGTGCCAAGAAGACTGCGATGGGTCAACGTATTATAGCTATTCTTCCTTATATCAAGCAGGTACTCTGAAATGTAGAAAAAATAAATAAGTTCTTATTGGTCCGTTCAGGAGATTCCGGTAATGATAGTGTTTCGTGCACTTGGATTTGTCTCGGATCGTGACATCCTTGAACACATTATCTATGACTTTGAAGACCCAGAAATGATGGAAATGGTTAAGCCTTCATTGGATGAAGCTTTTGTCATCCAGGTGAGAACTGCCAGAAAAATCTTTGTTTTTTCCACTCATTTTTATTCTTGGATTGATATAGTCGTGAAGTGATGATCTTAATCGTTGATCATTCACGACTCAGACGCGAAAAGTTTGTGACTCAAATTACATTGGTCTGCTTTGGTCGGTTTTTCGAGATATCATACCATAAATCAAACAATAAACAAGGCAAGGGGAAGGAAATCAATGTAGCAGACATTTGCCTTCTCACAACATTTCTCACTCATTTCCTAATTTTATCAGCATTCATACTGTGGTTCCCACTCTCTTTCACGATGAACATCGGGAGACAATAGCGGAGAATACGCTCGAGCTGACGTGAACCTATTGTTATGCTCATGTAATACTTTACTCCCAGTCCCTTCATATGAGAAGTCACTCTTATTCAAGCCAGAAGTGAATAGCTCCATTTTGACAGCGCCCTTTCTATTCGGCAGGCACTACTGAACGCGTACTTTAATGAGCTTAATCCAGCAAGATCGCTCACTAATAAAAAGAGAAGCCGGGTTTGAAAACTAGGTAATAGACTGGTTACTAGAAATTGGAAAGAAGGCAATCTATGAGCGAGCATTAACGTTTAGCTTCATGAAAAGTTGGCTCGAACCATTCGAGTGGTTTGGTTCATTCCTTCATATTTTCTTCCTGTCATCCGTAATCTGTATGCATATATGTGCGTATATTCTTCGCTTTGTTTTCAGGAACAGAATGTCGCTCTCAACTTCATCGGTGCGCGTGGAGCAAAGCCTGGAGTAACAAAAGAACAGCGTATCAAGTATGCCAAAGAAATTTTGCAGAAAGAGCTGCTTCCCCATGTTGGAGTGTCGGATTTCTGTGAAACAAAGAAGGCGGTATGTAAACTTATTTTATTTTTTTCATCTTCTCAACTGTCCTTTTTTTGTTCTTCAGTATTTCATTGGTTATATGGTACATCGGCTGCTCCTGGCCGCATTGGGACGCCGAGAGCTCGACGATCGTGATCACATAGGAAATAAACGGCTGGATCTTGCTGGTCCTCTTCTAGCGTTTTTGTTCCGGGCGTTGTTCAGAAATCTTTTGAAAGAGGTGCGAGGTAATTTTTTCAGTCCACGTTGCTATTTCAACATTGTTTACCTTTCAGATGCGACTCACTGCACAAAAGTACATCAACAAAAATGGTGACTTCTCACTTGATGTCTGTGTGAAAACGTCAACCATAACTCGTGGACTAGCCTATTCGCTTGCTACTGGAAATTGGGGTGATCAGAAGAAAGCTCACCAGTCAAGAGCTGGTGTATCGCAGGTTTTTCATTTTTTGGGTTGAAAAGCACTTCTAGATCACTCATTATGTTTCTTGCTTTAGATGTGTATTTTTAATGCTTTAGATGTGTATTTTTAATGAAAATCCGTCTGTAGGTACTGAATCGACTCACCTACACAGCCACTCTTTCTCACTTACGTAGAGCTAACTCTCCCATTGGAAGGGAAGGAAAGCTCGCGAAACCCAGGCAACTCCATAATACACAATGGGGAATGGTTAGATTTCGAACATAAGCATAGCATGGTTCCTCTTCCACTGTCTAGAATTAAGGTATGTCCTGCTGAAACTCCCGAAGGCCAAGCTGTCGGTTTGGTAAAGAATCTTGCGCTCATGGCCTATATTTCTGTTGGTTCATTACCTGAGCCTATCCTGGAGTTTCTTGAAGAGTGGTCAATGGAAAATCTCGAAGGTATTGCTGAAATTCTCTCGGATGCTGCACAATATGTGCTATCCTCATTCTTTTTCTTCTAGAACACTCTTAGCAGTGGATAGTTACATAGTGTTCAGAGGTGGCACCTTCTTCGATCGCTGATGCGACGAAGATATTTGTAAACGGCGCATGGGTTGGAATCCATCGCGATCCGGAACATCTCATGACAACCTTGAAAAAACTCCGTAGGCAAATGGATATCATCGTATCAGAAGTATGTGTTTGGTTCATTGTATCGAAGGATTGCACCCTATCTTCTGTTTTCACTTTAGGTGTCGATGGTTCGAGACATAAGAGATCGAGAAATACGAATTTACACTGATGCTGGTCGAGTATGCCGACCTCTCCTCATCGTTGAAAAACAAAAGTTGGCTTTAAAAAAGCGTCATATCGACAAACTAAAGGTAAAAAAGCGATTTGATACGTCAGAGGTCGAGATTCACTGCTCTAACATACTTACAGGAGAGAGAGTCTGGTAGTAATTACAGTTGGTCTGATCTTGTTGGTGGTGGGGTCGTGGAATTGATCGACGCCATGGAAGAAGGTTAGTGAATATCAAAATCGTTCTCCCTTGACGAAGAACATTGGAAAGAGGTATTCCATCTGAAAACCACTTTTTAAAGAGACCGTCATGCTTGCTATGATGCCAGAAGATCTAAAGGCTGGAGGTTACTGCGACACCTATACTCACTGTGAGATCCATCCAGCGATGATACTCGGTGTTTGTGCATCGATCATTCCATTTCCTGATCATAATCAAAGCCCTAGAAACACATACCAAGTAAGTTTACTACGCCTCTTCTGCATTTTTGTAATGAGCGTCACAATCTGTGTGTATGCGTTTCATTCCAGAGTGCTATGGGTAAACAAGCTATGGGTGTATATACAACAAATTTCCACGTGCGAATGGACACACTTGCGCATGTGCTCTATTATCCACAGAAGCCTCTTGTTACCACAAGATCTATGGAGTACTTAAGGTATGGGGAACTGTGGGCGCAACGTTTGCCGTTCTTTTATTTCCATTCTAACGTTTTAATCATACTATTAATCACAGATTTAATGAACTCCCGGCTGGTATCAATGCCATTGTGGCCATTCTTTCGTACTCGGGTTACAATCAAGAAGATTCTGTGATTATGAATCAATCCGCAATTGACAGGGGCCTATTCAGATCGGTTGGTGGACACTGGTATAGCGTTGTTCTTTGATCGCTTACATTTTTGCAATTCTAGGTTTTCTACCGTTCTTATCGAGATCAAGAGGCAAACTTGGATGGTGCTAACGAAGAGCTCATTGAGAAGCCAACTCGAGACAAATGTTCAGGAATGCGGCACTCTCTCTACGATAAGGTGTGTTCATTAATACATTTCTAAAACTGAACACTCTCTAGCAACTTGTTTTGATTTGATGTTCTTCCAACTGCATTGTGCTTTCTGGGCACAATTACGGGTTCGAGTCCCAGCCGGGATTGAAGACTTGCCCACAACTCGCTGTTCTTGTGTGATTTCCGTATACTGACTATTTTAGCTGGACGACGACGGAATTATTTCACCTGGAATGCGTGTTTCTGGTGACGACGTTATTATCGGGAAAACTGTGGCTCTTCCCGAAGTTGTAAGTCTTCCCAGTGCTGCGTTGTAGTACACTGAGTTGTAGCTACAGTCTGTGGGTACTTCGCAAATGTTCAGGATGACGATCTGGATGCAAGCAGTAAAAAGTACACGAAGCGCGATGCATCAACATTCCTCCGCAGTTCTGAAACAGGCATCATTGATCAGGTACTGAATTGGCTGGACGTTTACCAAGATAGTTCGCTGTTTTGAATATCTTCTCTCAAGGTGATGGTATCTTTGAACACTGATGGTAACAAATTCGTCAAAATTCGTGTGCGTTCGGTGAGGTTGCCACAGATTGGCGACAAATTCGCATCACGCCATGGTCAAAAAGGTACCATGGGTATCATGTACAGACAGGTACGTCTTCCATGTGGTCGGAAATTATGTTACTGTCAATTTTGAGAATTGTGGCCATATTCGAGTTGATAGTACTTACCGCATTATTTCTATAAAGCAACATCTTTCGAGGGTGATCAATCCTCTGGAATGCGCCCTCACAGTTGACTTGAATTTATTATCCTTGTGGTGTTGTGAACGCGTATGTGGTCGTGCGATGACTTGTAGTGACCACCCATATACGAGTTCAGGGCTTTCATCATCGCAGACTAGTCTGGTAGCAATTGACCAACCTCCAGAAGGATAGGAGGCTTGGTTGGCTAGGAAGTATCTTGACTCGAAATTCGATCCCTAGAGCATGCGTGTGGGACGGCACCATTTGGCATTACACCACAACAGTCCCTGTTATTGCTTTATAAGCCCACAAAATAGTCCACAATTGGCTCATTTAATTGAGAGCTGTTAGAGAATACAACACTTGTGCCTTCACAACATGCTTATGCCTCTTTGTTTTATCTGCGTAGGGTTCTTCTCGTGTAAAATCAAATGATGTAGTACAGTAACTTTACAGGAAGATATGCCATTTACTTGTGAGGGACTAACACCGGATATTATCATCAATCCACACGCTGTACCATCTCGTATGACTATTGGCCACTTGATCGAGTGTTTGCAAGGCAAGGTAGGTCGTTTCTCTATAGATCACTGGTCATTTTTTACTCCAGTTCTTAACCTTTATTTAGCTATCGGCCAACAAGGGCGAAATTGGTGACGCAACTCCGTTTAACGATACTGTAAACGTACAAAAAATCAGTAATTTATTGCAAGAATACGGGTATCACTTGAGAGGGAATGAAGTAATGTATAACGGACATACCGGAGTGAAGCTTACTACGCAGGTTTGTGCATTAATCATTTTCAAATACTTCCACTCAACTATGGCAAAAATACTCGTTACATCAGATCTTCTTTGGACCGACATATTACCAACGATTGAAGCATATGGTAGACGACAAAATTCATTCACGAGCAAGAGGTCCGATACAGATGATGAATAGGCAGCCCATGGAAGGACGAGCAAGGTTGGATTACTTATATATTTGATAACTTGTTTTTTTCGTGTTATCGTGTTCTGCGTCTAGACATTCGTCTAGAATTCTTGCAAAATCTTGAAACAGGTTGTGGGAGAGAGCTTTTCATATTTGGTAGAATGTAGTAATTTGTTCTGACTTTACATTTTGTTAACTGCTGTTTATCGCCACAGTACGCGAAGCGAAAGTCTGCACGGTGTACAAGTAGGGTTCGAGTTCCGTCAGATGCCGAAGTTTTGCTCACAGAGTGTAGTATTTTTTCGGCCGACACAGGGTTCTACTGACATTCTTTTTCTGATTAAATTTCGGAAGTTAGGACTCACTTTAGCGCTAATGGCACGCGCGTCACTGGGAATAAGTCCGAAATCGAGTCTGATTAAGTGGATTATCTTTGGGTCCCAAAACAGCACTATAGTAAACAGTGCAAAGATCAAAATTGATGAGTGTTGTTCACCAACTACAGAAAATTACATTTCAATTTATATAATTACAATACCGAATCGGAAACTTTGCTCGACTCTGCTTAACTCTTCAACGATTGTTATAGCGATTTCTGTTATAAAATGCACTCCCAAAGAACGGTTCATTCGTCCAGCTTTTGAAATCCCTGAAGAATTCTACTTTCCCTCAAATGTTTCCTTTCAATAAAGCCTGCTGGAGTACTTGACGGCTGCTTCCCTTGTTGTTACCGCAGCGAATTTTGGGCTTTCTTCAGAGATGGTGGGTTGCGTTTTGGTGAGATGGAGCGAGATTGCCAAATCTCTCATGGAGCAGCACAGTTCCTTCGCGAGCGTCTTTTCGAGGTATCTGATCCGTACCATGTGTACACGTGCAATAATTGTGGCCTCATTGTCGTTGCCAATCTCCGAACGAACAGTTTTGAATGCAAGGTAATATATCCGTGTTTATTGCGACCTTGTCGATTCTTTGTAAATATTGAACATTTAAGGCTTGCCGAAATAAAACACAGGTGTCGGCTGTTCGCATACCGTACGCCTGTAAACTGTTATTCCAAGAGCTGATGTCGATGTCAATCGCACCACGGCTAATGGTGGATGCTTAACACGTCGCTTTGCAATTTCTATTGTTGGCTGGTGTACTGTATCTCAAAATGGTTGGAAGGTCTTGTTCATCATTGTTTTGTTGATTTTGTTGCTGTAACACAGTGAGACACTCTGTCACGGTTATTGCCCTCTTTATGATCATTGATAAAAATCAAAAACATAAATTGAATTCTGCATCACATTTAATTTGAAGTAAGTGACTGGATCATAGTTAAGTTTAAAGCTTGAAAACACTAGAATTGATAACTGATAGGATAGTCCTTTACGTGGAGTTCATCTCACTGCTATGTGTGCTGAATTTGCTGCCTTCCATGCTTTTAATGGTTGAGTGTGGATCACTTCCGCTCAGCTGTTCCATGTCTGATCTGTCACTCATCTTTTGACGACCACTCTTCTCGGGATCCGTTCGCGACTGTTCTGTCTTGTGCGGATAGAGAACGTAATGCTGGGTGATGAAAAGAATGTCAAAGAGTGACGAGACGAGGCCGAGACCAAATTTGACGGGATTTCCATAGAACGCCGACCATTCGGATACATTCCAGCACTGCAAAACCATTTGAAGAATATCAAGACAGCCTCCAGTGAAGTCAAGCAGTACGTTGCCGATCGACCAGCCGACGGTGCTCTTTCTTCGAAAATTCAACAAGGCCTATAAATGAGAAAAAGTTAAGTAGTCACATAATCGGTGATTTACTTGAAAAACAAATATTTCTTGGTTGAAACAAATAACTTAAGTTCTATACGGATAGCAATTTGAAGTGGTGCTGCTTTCGCTTAAATAGTCCGTTAAGCAAATACCCTTCGTCAGTTTCCCTAATTCTGCTCTCTAAGCGCGATTAACGTGTTTTTCAAACCTACCAGTAAAAATGCTACTTTCTGGACCTAGAGTCCAGTCCTGCCTAAGAGGAGTTCGGTTCCAGTAAGTAACAGAGAAGTTTTGAGAAAAACTCAATAAATAATGAAGAAGCATTGAGAAGAGCGTGTAGCCTGCTACCTTGTCTTGCTCGACCTGGAAAGGCTTTCGACCGCATGCTACGACCCGTTCCCATCCACTACTCTCCAAAAACGGAACGTTCCAGATTATCTGGTCTACCTGGTCAAAGAAATGTACGATTGGTCAGAAAAACTATGCGCACCCCTCACGGATAATCGCAAGATGATCTACAAAGCGAGTGCTAGGCTCAAGTAAAATCATGAAAGACAGCTTCACTCTATTGAAACGACTGTGCCCACATGAACCTGCGGCTGCACTCGAATGGATCAAGGGTCAAGAGGTAAAAACAAGGACACCAGACAGCACAGTAATGCAAACAGCCACTGCCTAGCTGAAGATGGGAGAGCAGCGTCTACGATGGTATGGGCATATGCTGCGAAGGTCACAGAATCACGCAGTAAGTAAGACAATGAAGTTCTAAGCGGAAGGAAAGCGACCCCATGGAATAAAAAAGAAGAGCTGGAGAGACATGATCAGAAACAACCTCCCTGGAACCAAAGCAACGGCAGAAGATGCAGTAGATGGAAAAAGCGGCGATAACTCTCGCAAACAGCGTATTTTACGTTTGAGCGTGATCAACGCTAGGAAGTATAAGTCCAGTCTCGTGTAGGGTTCAAGCCAGGAGAGGCTTTGCCATATGCCTTTCGTGTAGCAGAGCATGGGATTGGTCCATAACTTCTAAAGCATCCGTCCAGTTTTCATTTTAATATTCCTTTCTTTCTCTGACTTTTCATCCAACCCTATGATGCAACAAAGTCAATAAAACGATGACGTAAAAAATTGGAACTTTTTGCGGAATTGCCTTCTAGAGCAACAGCGTCGCTATGTCCCATCGAAAGGATTTACTAGCCGATGATGAAGCTGGTCCTGCCTACAGGGACTTCGGGAATGTTGAGGGTATCTCCCACTGCTCGATTGAAGGAATGATACTATTCCTTGCTTCTATGGTTAGGAATATTACTGAGCTCTCACTAGAAAGTACTAAGAAGATAGAGAGGGCACGAAAAGGCCAAACTGAGTCAGGCGGCCTTTTCAAACTTTATGTTTTAAAATTAAGTGCATCTGAATGCCTCGGTTTCATTTCCTTACGGAAGGAAGCCTTGAGGGGCACCAAGTAGGTCTCAAAATTCGTCAACGAACCACCGGTGTCGAAATCAAAAACCTCAGAGAGAGTGAAGATCATCTCCTGAAAGAAGTACCAGTTTTCAGTATATGGGACTGGTGATGTATGTGGATGGACCTGGAAGGTCAGACCTTCAACCATTGCCTCGATGCAGTCTCGACTTTAGGCAGCTTCAAACGCCATCTTCAAAGAATGAAGCTAAGTGCTTGCAACTGATAGTGGTGGCCATGAATGCAAAGCAATAGGGAAGCTGACTAGCTGATCAGACATGCCAGAGTGGGCGAGAAGGGGGGGATGTCGTGATGCATTTTTTTTATGAAGTTTTTCTTTTTTTTTCTTATGAAGTTTTTTTCAAGCCATAAATGCA